AGGCGTCTGTCCACCTTCCTCCGCAGGCTGAGAAGCACCGCGAGGCGGCGCAGGCTGAGAAGCACCGCGAGGCGGCGACACTTCGGACGAGCCTCGCGGAGCAGAGGCTGCGGATGAACGTTGGGTATGGGGGTACGGCCAGGGGAACGCCATTGCAATCGAAACTGAGTGGACTGCAGTGAGTGAATGCAGTGGCACGATTGAATGCAGTGGACTGCAGTGTCACTAGCAATTCCTGAACCAAACACGGCTGTGGCGGAAGGACTACGAAGCGTCTGGCTATTCAAAATGTGGCCCGGGAATGTAGTTCTGGGAACTCGAAGACCAGGAAGTGGCCTACAGTTGGCTCCGGGCATCCAAAATGTGGCCCGGGAATGGAATTCTGGGAACTCGAAGAGCACGAAGTGTGTGACTGTTGCATCCGGCCCTCCAGAATGTGGCCCGGGAATGGCGTTCTGGGATGTCGAAGAGCACGAAGTGTGTGACTGTTGCATCTGGTTATTCTAAATGTGGCCCGGGAATGGCGTTCTGGGATCTCGAAGAGCACGAAGTGTGTGACTGTTGCATCCGGGTATTCAGAATGTGGCCTGGGAATGGAGTTCTGGGAAGTCGAAGAGCACGAAGTGTGTGACTGTTGGTGAAAAACGAGCCCGGCACCCTGCCGCCCGGCAACTCCCCAACACCTGCCCGGACCCCCCTGTGGAGTGATCTGTGAGCTCTTTTGAGACCACTAGAAACCTATCAGTCTTCGCTGTTAGGTAATCATTGATTTTCCTGAAGTTTTTGAAGGATTTTGGCATGTTCTTCTTTTCAGCTCTCCGACGGCCCCAGACGGCCCATGAGGTCCCCAACATCGCCCCAACAGCACCCAAGAGGCATCCAAGGTTGCCCCAGAACGGCCCAAGAGGCGCCCAAGAAGGCCCCAAGAGGCCCCCCAGATGGCCCAAGAGCCACCAAGACGCTCAAGATGGCCTCCAAGACGGCCCACGAGCCCTCCAAGACGTCCTCCAAGAAGGCCCGAAAGAGTCAAAATGGCATCCAGGCGGCCACGATGACCTTCAAGATGCCCACGTGTTCCCCGAAGGCTTTCCAAACCGATTCGGGGAACGCATGGTCCGATAGCTTGGCAGGTCTGGCCTCAACGTTCGGCCACATAGGCACTTCCACAAAAGCAGGGGGCGGCGGTGATTCGCCGTAGGCGTCTTCGATCCGCCGCCCCCTGTCGATTCATCGCAGGGGTGCCTGGCGTGTTGGATCCTATCGGTTTTGGTTTTGGTTCTTTTTCCAAAAGAACTCCCCCGGGCGCTTCGGCCCGTCCCGCCGGGGTCCCGGGAGGATTGCCCAGGACCCCAAGGTGCACAACAATTCCTCCAAGACGGTCGCCAAAAACGGCCGTTTTGCTCGGGACATCCTCAGCGAATCGCGAAGATGGCCCAAGATGGCCTGCAGGATGCCTCCAAGACAGCCAAGATGGCCTCCAAGACGGCTAAGATGGCCCCAAGATGAATCCAAGACGGCCCAAGATGGCCACAATATGGGGCGTGGTAAGAACTCCGGTGACAGGTTAACGAATCTTTCTAGTTCGCGCGCGCGTGGCGGCCCCTGGGACCCCTCGGACGAAAATATCCCGGCCAGTCCGACTCAGAGATGGTTTCTCCTTCTGGGCTCGGCTTTCAGGCGCCCCAGAGCGCTCCCAAAGGGCCCCAAGAGTCCCCAAGATGGTCCCAAGAGGGTCCCGAGTCGCCGAACGATCGCTCCAAGACGCTCAGAGAGGCCCCCAGACGGCCCAAGAGGCCTCCAAGACTGTGTCGCCTTTTCGACTTCTTGGCGCTCCGAGACGGCCCAAGTGGCCTCCAAGATCGCCCCAAGACGGCCCAAGAGGCCTTGAATAGGGCCCCAAAGCCCCAGAACGATCCATGAGGCCCCAAGACGACCCAAGAGGGCCCCAAGACGGCCCCAGAAGGAGCCCAAGAGAGGGAACAAGAACCGACGATACGAGCCTTCCGCCCAAGACGAGGCCCCCAGGAGGCCCCAGAGGCGCCCAGGAGGCCCCGGGAGGCTCCAAGAGGCCCCCAAGAGGCCCCCAGGAGGCCAAGAACCCCCCATGAGGCGCAACAGAGGCCCCAAGAGGCCCCAGAACGGCCCCCAAAAGACTTTAAACCTGCCTCCCAAAGGGCCCCACGAACATCCTATAGGCTTCATACCCACAATGCAAGCACGGTGGCGGGATGGGCCGACGGCGCCATTAGATCCGCCCCCTGTTGATTCATCACAGGGGTGCCTGGCGTGCTAGATGATCTCGTTTTTTTCTTCAACAGAAAAATCCCCCTGGGGCTTCGGCACGTCCCATGGGTCCGTCGCCAGACCGCTTGCTTATGGAAGACGCCTACAGGCGAATCACAGCCGCCCCCTGCCTTTGGGAAGCGCCTGTAGTGCCGGACGTTGTGGCCAGAGCTCGGCCAAGCTTTCGGATCATGCACTCCCCTAGCCGTTGTGCAAAAGCTTCGGATAACATGTGGGGAGTTTTGGGCCTCTTTCGGGGGTCTTTGGCCTCCCGTAGTCTGGGCCTCGTTGGGGGGTAGACGGCCCGAAAACGACCCAAAAGGGCCCCATGACGGCCTTAGAGGCCTCCCTGCCAGCCCAAGGGGCCCCCCAAAACGGCTCCAAGAGGGTGCCTACACGGGAGCCCGCACAAACATTTGGAGCCCTCTGCCGCGAGAAGTTCCCAGGAGGCCCCAAGAGGCGTCCAAGGAGCCCACACGAGGCCCCAAAAGGCCCCCAAGAGGCCAAGCCGGCCGGGCGTCGTCGATGTTCCGTAATTCTTTGGCGTGTTTGGCACCTGGGGCGCCCTCGTGGACCCGGTGCGGCGGCTCGAAAAGGTCGAGGTGTGGGGAGAGGGTTTGGGGTCCTGGGGGGTCTTTGAAGGTTTTTGGGGGGTGTTGGGTCTTGGGTCTTGGGGGGGTCTCGGGCCTGGAGGTGTCTCGTCAGGCTTGCCTGGAGGTTCCCTCGTGGGCCTCTTCGGGGGGCCTTGGGCCGTTCTTGGGCCCTCTTGGGCCCATCTTTTGGGCCGTCCTGGACGAATCCAGGGCCGTTTCTCGTCATCGCTCGGGTGGCCATTCCTCGTGCATTTGTCGGTTTCGTGCGCGCAGTTGTTCGCAAGATGATCCAGGATGCTCCTCGAAGGTCCTCGCCGAGGGAATAAAACACACACGTCCGAGCGAAGACAAGGTCTTGGAGACATCTTGAGGCCATCGTGGGTTCTCCCGGGATCATCGTAGCCGTCTGGGAGACCATCTTGGCCGTCCTGGAGGCCTTCTTGGGGCCGTCTGGAGCGGGAAGACCGATGAAGTAGGACATTTTCAAGTCTTTGTGGAGCAAGAAGACCAACGAACACGGTTGTCTAGGAGCCCTCCCGGGTGGCCGTCGCGGTCGGCCCAAGGCTTACTGGGAACCCTGAACATTAGGTCGGGCATGTCCCACTGCAGGCGGATCTTGGGCAATGTCTTCTTTTCTTTTAATATATGTATATATACGTACATACATACATACATACATACATGCATATATATATATATATATATATATATATATACATACATACATACATACATCTCTGGCCCTTCTCCAGCGGCCCAGAGACCAACTCCAGAGAGCTGTATAGAGCCTCCGTTGGGGGATTTCTTGGGAAATTCTCTTTTTGTCATGCGCCAGGCGAGCAGAGCGAAAAGGTTCCTTCCGAAGGGATACTCGATCCTCGAGTACACCTGAGGAATCAACAAAGGCTTTGGCAATCACAGCCCAACACAGACTTAGGGAGGCAGAGGAGGGAGACTTGAGCGAGATAGTTACAGACAGGCAAGCTGACAGAAGCGGGCCTCAACGAAGCGAGAGATATGACAATCAAATATTAAAAACATCTCTGGCCCTTCTCCAGCGGCCCAGAGACCAACTCCAGAGAGCTGTATAGAGCCTCCGTTGGGGGATCTCTTGGAACCTTCTCTTTTTGTCATGCGCCAGGCGAGCAGAACGAAAAAGGTTCCTTCCGAAGGGATACTCGATCCTCGAATACACCTGAGGAATCAACAAAGGTTTTGGCAATCACAGCCCATACCAGGATCTATTACTGGAGGGCCTCCTGAAAGCACTGAAAGGTGGAGGCCTCCGCAGCATCGGCTTGCCTTGCGAGCTCAGAAGGAAAACGGGCGGCCGGGAGAAGAAAACGGCCGCTCTTTCGTATCGTTTCACAGACTTGGCGTGGGCCCAGCGCCCGCGCTTCTGAACAACTGCTAGACTGCGGGCGCGCACCAGCACGTCATGGCTAGGCGCTGAAAGACGGGCCACGCGGGGAGTGAGAAGCCTTACCTTGCCGAGAATAGAGCGACTGTACTTCCTAAAAAGTGCCTCATACTTGGCTAGAGACAGATGCGGGAAGACTAGCTGGTCAGAACAGGCGTCAGCCTTACGGCGTCTATGATTGTCCTTCAGAAAGACACTCATGAGCAAGTAGAAAACCGAGAGCGGCGACGGATGCCTTGAGAAGCCGGGGAACCTACGGACCCAGCCCTTCATTGCCTCACGAGCCATCACGAGCCGGGCGGACTCGGCAATGTCCGACCGCGGGAAGAAAGCCAGATACCCTCGAGTGTGTACCGTCCTTCCGCGGCATGCCGAGCGTCACTCATGAGAACATTGAAGTACTTACGCATCTGACGATGAAGGACTCTGAAGCTTGTCTGAGATCATCTGAAGCTTCGCCCAGTCGAAAAAACTCTCGGACTGCGGTCCCATATCGCTCGAGCGACGTCGAGGTGATCGAGCCGAAGCGGGCTGCGCCCCCATCCGTAGGGACAGGCGCCCTCGGACCGAAGCTCAGGCTGCGGCCCTTGATCGCCTCCACGAAACTAGGGGCGCGGGAGCGGCGGCCAGCGACCCTTCGGGCCTCTCTTCGAGCGGGCTGCTCGTTTCCTTGCCGCCTCGAGGTTGGAGTCCTGACCGAAGACGATGAAAGGCCGCAGGTGCTCATACCTGCTCTCGAGACCGTCCGAGTCGGCGGCGCCAGCGAGCCCGAGGTCAGGCTCCGCTTGAAGCCGCTGCCGAGCTGGTCGGAGGCGCTCGCGGGCGCGCGAAGCCGGCCGTCGCGCAGCATCGCGAAGCTGGGCCTCCAGGTCCCCGCCGTCAGGTGCGTCGGGGCCGTCGCGGGCCACCGCGGGTGCCGACATGCCTGCGGCCAGGGCCCATGCCTGGCAGAGGCTGCGGGGGTAGGCTCCAGCGCCTGCCGCACGATTGATTGCGAGAAACACGAGCCCCAGATGGCAACGTCGCGGTCTCGAAACCCCTGAGCTCAACATGCGAATGATCCCTGGAGCACACTGAAGCCAAGGAACTCAGGGCTGACAGGTTAGTGAGAATCGCTGTCGGTTTCATGTGCGAGGCCCCGTAACTGCAGTGCACCAAACACACACGAACAACGTCAGGAAGGTCAGTGAGCTCTCGAACGGGGTCGAAGTCCCAAGGTCTGGAAGATCTCGGATTCTCAATGCTCCAGAATACTCCGTTCCGCGAGCACTCATAAGCAACGCGGCAGCTGAACAGGGCGAGAGCTACACCCACACGCTCCTTGTACGCGGCTTTCTCATAGTTGACGATACCGTGACGAGCCCGAGACCACACGCAACAGGGTGTCCCAAGATGCACATACCAGAAGCGCCCCTTTCGGATGTCCTCTAAGATGATGTTCTGGACCTTCGGGTCCAGCAGGTCGTGGTGAGCCCAATCTTTGATGTCCATGCAGGGGTAAGTTGACAAGCCGAGCTCCTCGAACGCCCTGGAGAGCCCACCCTCGCCCGAGAACAGCTCCAAGAAGCCCTGGTCGTGCTGGGCCCGTCTCCGAAGCTGAGCATGCCCAAGACGCAGAGGGGGGCAGGCGGTCCGACTGGTCACCGAAGGTGTGGGCGTGGAAGACGGACAGGACGGTCGACGCGAAGAAACTTCGTTTTCCTAGGGAGGCTGCGGGCCCAGATGCTTGTCGCTCTCGGCCGCGGCGGGCGGATACCCTGCGAGGCCGAGTCCAGGAGGCAGGCTGCCCGTCTTGACTACAGCGTTCAAAAGGGAGGTGAGAGGGAGAAGATGTTGTCATATCTGCCGAACTCTGTATGTTACATCATTTGTCGGGGGAGTTGTCCTCGAACCGACGAGATGGAGCGTCGGCCGCGTTAAACTTCGTGTTGACATACCGCAGCCTCCAACGCACTCTACAGCCGATGGCGTAGGCCGCAGCTCGCCGGCATTGCGCGTTCAGAACTGCTGAGCGGCTGGGCCGCCCTTTGTCCGGGCAGCCAACACATGCCATGGAGTCCACGAGAGAAACTAGGCGGCGTCCGCAATTCTGGCGGACGCGACAGGCATGCCGCAGCCCCATCACCGCAGCGCGGGTCTCCTTCACATTGATGTGCTCTCCAGGCCAGCGCCAGCGCCTCGCCGCGACCAGTTTGAAGCCTTCCGGGTCGAACCAGGAGGCAGGCAGCGGCGGCGCCAGGGGGCCCGCCTGGATGAGGCACTCGGCGTCGGGGTCCCCAGGGTCGACTGGGCGCCGCCGCAGACGGCGATGGCGAGGCCGGTGAGACCCGGCGGAGGCAGAGCCCCCCTCCGCCCTGCTCTGCAGCCACTGGCCAAAGGCCGTGGCAGGGGCAGAGCCAGCGCTCGGCTCGGCGGAGCGGCAACGGGGCTCCACCTCGTAATCCAGCTGCGCCTCGTCCACCTCCCTGTAGCCGCCCATCTCAGCGACATCAGCGGCCGAGGTCAGGCCAACGCGGGGGCCTCGGAGGTGCTGCTTGAAGCTCCACTTCTCCTTCCAGCGGAAGGCTGACTGCATCTCCTCGTCCGAGGCCCTTTTGTACATCAGGCCGTGCCCGTTGTCGGCGGAGTCGCTGGCGTAGACGTGCGGCACGTAGGGCGCAGCTAGGTCGACCTCCGCGAGCCAGACCAGTCCGGCGACCAGACTCATCTCGTGCATGACCTCGCGTGGGAGAGGGGTCCGAACACCCCAGGCGACCTCGGCAAACCGGTACGTGGCTGAGAGCGCGGCGTGCCCCGGCCTGGCCAGTATCAGCAGCGACACAGCGTGGCCTAGCCAGACCTCCATGTGCCCCCCCCGCATCTTGCCACGACGCAGGAGGGCGCGGGTGGCCAAGTCAAAGCGCCACACTCGGGAGGCCTTGTTGCGAAGCTTCCCCTTCTTGAGGTCGATCTCAACGCCCACGGTCTCGAGGTGGGTCACCACATCAGGATAGGACCACGTGATAGGCAATCCAGATCGATCAGCTTCAGCCTGTAGGGCGGAGCTTGCCTCACGGGCTAGAGAGGCGCCCCTGCCGAAGACGGTGATGTTGTCCACGTAGACGCTGCCCATGACCTTGGACTCTCTCAAGTCGGGGGCGGGAAGGTGCTCCCCCACCATGGCAGGCGTCGGCAGAGACGGCGAGCGCAGCGCCCGCTCTGTCATAGCCGACACGGCCTCCTGCGCAAAGTACAGAGCCCAAGACCACCCCATGCACATAGCACGCATGCACGGGTACAAGACCATGTCATCTTCCACGGAGACCATCGTGCTCAGCTCGGGGTCCTAGAACGCTCCGACATTGATGCCGTAAGTGTCACTGATCTCGGCGGCGGGCAGCGGGTCGTCGAAACCGAACCACTCCGCCAAGCCATCGATGGCGAAGTTGTAGAAGCAGTCCTCGACATCGGCCTCGTTCCCGCGGGGGTCCCAGCCCATCGCGCTGCCGACGCCGTCGACGGACTCGCCACCCACGGAGAGGTCGAGGTCCGCCAGGGCCCCAGCTGAACCGAGTCTTGAAGTCGGAGGGGCACGATGACGAGAGTTGGCCTGTCTAGCGCCCACAATCATTCTAATCTCACCTGGCTTCTTTTTCTTCACAAAGACAAGGGCAGCGCGAGCTCGGAGACGACGTCTGAACGTTATCAGTCCCAGCTCATACAGCACCCTGAAGAGTCGCCAACGCTCAGTCCGACTCGAGCGAAGCACGGGATCCCAGTAAGGACGAATAGGATCGGTGTGCTGGCGCATGAACTCCATCTCCCCCTGATCCTTCTCGATGTACAATGCGGGGTTGCGGATCATGTCCGCAGGCAAGGGCGGCAATAAGTTAGCCACAGAGCGAGGCCGAGCGCGCCCTTTTGCGACCTTGAGCTTCGTCAGATCGAACGGCGCGAGGTTCTTCGGCTCCTGGCAGTACAGGCCCTTGGAAGCCAGCAGCTCGCGAGCGGCCCCCTCGGCCGTCAGGCCAGGCGGGGGGGGGGCCCACAGCGGCAACGCGCTCCGCAATGCTGTCCAATATCCATTCCTGAACGGCAGTCGGGGCCCGAGATGACTGGCGAGCCTGGCAGAAACTATCTGAATTCGGTTGAGCAGCAGCGAGATGGTTGAGCGAAGCCCGCGCCGAGAGTGCTCGCTGTCGCTGCTCGAAGCTCAAGCCCGAGCTGTCGAGCTGAGAGGGCAAAAATTGCGGCAGAGGGAAAGGGTCCCCACGCCTCCGTCTTGAGGGCCTCCACCGGGTAGCATGTCCCCGATCCGCAGCAGGAGCGTCGGGCCGAGCTCGGGGATCAGACTCGGCCCGGAAGGCCGCGGTCACCCCGGGGCCTCCTCCTCGCCCTTGCTCCCCTTGTCGCCTCTGCCGCGCCCGCGGCCCCGGCCTCGTCCTCGGCCTGGGTCTGCGGGGGCACGAGAGTTCCGCATGGCCCACTGCTCCTCGTTCCACAACCGAGTCTGCCTGTAGATCGCGGCCTGCTCCTCGAGACGGCCCGTGACCCACTCCGTGAACCTGTTCGTGCTCGCCTGGCCCTGCTCGGCGGTCGGGGCGCGAAGCAAAATTTTCAGCCCACCGTAGTCAGGGTGGCGAGGGTTGCGAGCCACCGCGGTCTCGTCCTGGCAGATCCTGCGCATGATGAGTTCGGAGCTCGGCAAGTTCGTCGCGCCGAGCTGGTCCGTCCGAATGGCCAACCGAAGCGACTCGCACAGCAAATAATGAACGTGGGCCACCGCCGAGGACTCGCTGACTCCCGAACGGCGAGCCCACTGCCCGCGGCAAGAGGAAAGATCGCCAGTGCCATCCCGAACCGAGACAAGCCACTCCTTAGCAACTCGCGGCCCAGGCATGGCCCAATCGTCGACGCTCGTCTCGCGCATCAAAGACACAGCATCCGAAAGCGGGAGATGACGGCGGCCTGCGGAGTCCCGATGGTCGCCCAGAGTACGGAAATCTTCTCCCTCCGAGCTGCGCGCGGCCTTCCACTCCTGCAGTTGGTTGCCCTGAACCTTCTCAATGAACACCTCGAGACCGTTCACCAGCGCCGCGCCCTTGGACTGGCCCAAGGTGGCCAGGTCCGACTCTGCATCAACCCGGGGCTGGGCAAACTTAGGGTGATTTACCTCCGCGATGACCCAAGCGAGATTCTCCATCCCGACGTCATGGTCGCCGTCGCCCAAAATTGCCGCCTGAACTGCGGCCTGTCTCTTCGAAGCCAGAATCTCAGCTCGAGGCACAGGGTCGAAGCCGTAAACTTCGGCTCGGCGATCCGCAGGGAACATCACATTGCGATCCAGGACCAGGTGGCGCTGCTCTAAGAGATTGTGACGCACCAGCTCCAGGTCGGGGGTGATAGCTATCCACACCCCCGCTGTGACCTTTTTCACCAGAATGCGGTGGTGCCAGAACATGCCTCCCTCATCATTGGGATAGTGCACGAGTACTTGGGGTTCGGGGATGTCCAACGTGTCCTTTGTGCGAACCGACCGTCACTGGAGGAGCTGAATCCGACGAGCCGCCGAGCAATACACGAACGTGGCCGAGCACCCCTCGAAGGACTCCGAGGGCCAGCACCGCGGCCCAACTCACCACAACGCCGATGAGAATGCCCACCGTCAGCCAGGAAGTCCAGGCGCACGGAATCGAGGGCACCGCCGACGGGCACTCGTCCGCCTCGGGCTGTCCCCCGCAGCTCAGAGCGGGGCCGCCTGGGCACGGCGGGCACGACCCGCACGTGACAGCGGCTGACGCGGGGCAGGCTGGCACCGCGGGACAAGGGGGAGCCTCTGGACACCTGCTGTGGTATGAAAGCAGGCTGTTGGCAGCGAAATCTTGGAGACGCTGCTGCCACATCGGCCTCAAGACTTGAGCGAGATAGTTACAGACAGGCAAGCTGACAGAAGCGGGCCTCAACGAAGCGAGAAATATAACAATCAAATATTAAAATACACATACATATATATATATATATGTGCATAACGGAAGAAATTAACAAACGTCCTCAAAACATCGTCCCCGGATTCTGCTTTGACTGGTTCTGAATATTCCCCCTGTAGAGGGACAGGCCCGACTGAACCTTAACAAGGGTCAAACGCTACCCAAAATCTGGCACGTCGTGCACCCCGTGTGGCAGGCCCACGGGCGGCGGCGGATGTGTGGCCTTCGACTCGTGCCGCCACCGTGCCCGAGCTTTGGGCCAGAGGCTTCTTTGAAGGAGCCCAAGGACACACAAACAAATACACACACAAATAGCAGGATTCCCCATGCGTTTGATGTTATGATGTGATGTTCGTATTCCCCCCAATTCCTATCTTTTCCCACCTGTCGACGATTGATTGTGTGTTGTTTCCCTCCTGGTTCTTGGATACCTGTACTTCGGGCTCCCTTGGCATGCCTCTCTAAAGGGGCCCCAGGACACACAAATAAATACACACAAATAAAAATATTCCCCATATTTCCCAATATTTTCTAGGTTTTCGTCTTCCCCCCCACTTCCCATATTTTCCCATATTTTCCTGGGACTCGACGGTTAATTGTGTCTGTGTGTTTTTTCTCTTCCTGACTCTCGGGCGCCTCGTGCAGCGGGCTTTGAAGCTTCTTGGGGCCTCTTGGGGGCCGCTCGGGTGTCTGGGGCCTCTGCGGGCCGCCTGGGGTCCCGAAGCGGCCTCGGGGGCCCACCTGTGCCAGGGAGCCCGGCATGTGAATGGCGGCAGTTCCCTCTCTTGGACCCCTCTGGAGGTCCTCTTGGGCCGTCTTGGGCGCCTCGTGGACTCGTGGGCCGACTTTTGGGCTTTGGCCGTCCTCGAGCCCTTGAGGGCCTCTTGGGCTGTCTTGGGATGATATCGGGGGCCTCTGTGGCCGTCTTGGACGCTGTGAAAACCCAAAGCTGGAATATGCGAAACGCGCGCGCTTTCCGATAGGAATGTTGCAATCTTAGCCACATTGGGCCCTCATAGGGGACTCTTGGAATCTTCTTCGGATGCCTTCGGCCCTGTCGGGCCGCTCTGAAGCTTTCTGGTCGCCTCCAGAGCTGTTTTGAGCCGCCAGTGGGAGGCGCGAGAGGCCCGATGCCGAAGGGAGGGAGGCAATCCAGGAAAGGGGGGCCGGGCGCCCGATATCCCAGCATGTTATTATGACTGGAGAATCAGGGCGCTCCGTGCCTGCTCACGGGGTTGTTAGGAGCCTCCGAATCTGGTGCAGACGGAGGACACAACGACGTGCATCGCAGCACACGCCTCCGTCAGCACAGCGTGCTCCAGGTCGAACGGCGCGATCGGTTCGACGGCTGCCTGTAGGTGATGCCGTCAAGCTCTCTGCGGCGTGGTGGTCCATGAATGGAGGTACACATGTCACAAAACAAATTCTGCCATGTTTTCATGTTGGTGATGCAATCATGATCACACGAGCTCTCCCGCTTCCAACAACAGGTGTTAGGTGTGTGGGGGGGAAATAGAGCCACAGGACAAATTGTGTATTACAGGGGGGAACTGCGGATAACAAAGAAGCGAAATCGCGGACACTGGGTGACCCGCAGGTCGAAGACAAACTAACGACACCCGCAATTGAATGACACAGGTAACGGACCGCCCGGGAGATCAACCGCAAGGGATAAAACAAGTTCGGGTTCCTGGCGAGGTTATTAAAAAATCCCCGCAAATCGCATGCACGGATGTACGGTGTACGGGTGCACGAAGTGTGCGGGTCTACACATGCTAAAGACAGTAGTAGTAGTAGTAGTAGTAGTAGTAGTAGTAGTAGTAGTAGTCGTAATCGTAGTAGTAGTAGTAGTAGTAGTAGTAGTAGTAGTAGTAGTAGTAGTCGCCGTGATAGTCATAGTCGTACTAATTGTAATAGTATTAATAGTAGTCGTAGTCGTGGTCGTAGTTGTAGTAGTCGTAGTCGTAGTAGTAGATACATTAGTGATAGTTGTAGTACTAGTAGTAGTAGGAGGAGGAATTGTACCAGTAGTAGCAGTAGCAGTAGCAGCAGTAGTAGTAGTAGTAGTAGTAGTAGTAGTAGTAGTAGTAATCGTAGTAGTAGTAGTAGTAGCCGTGATAGTCATAGTCGTACTAGTTGTAGTAGTATTAGTAGTAGTCGTAGTCGTGGTCGTAGTTGTAGTAGTCGTAGTCGTAGTAGTAGATACATTAGTGATAGTTGTAGTACTAGTAGTAGTAGGAGGAGGAGGAATTGTACCAGTAGTAGCAGTAGCAGTAGCAGTAGTAGTGGTAGTAGTAGTAGTAGTAGTAGTAGTAGTAGTAGTAGTAATACTTGTAGTAGT